GTCGTCATCCCAGCACGCGCGGGACTGCATGATGAGCATGGGTCTCACATCCGAAAATGTGGCCAGCAGGTACAACATCGACCGCAAGAGGCAGGACGAGTTCGCTTTGCAATCGCAGCTCAGGGCGGCCAAAGCCCAAGAGGATGGCAGATTGGCAGAAGAGATTGTTCCCATCGATGTGAGGTGGGTCGATGAGGATGGAACAGAGACCACCAAGCTCGTCAGTCGGGACGAGGGTGTGAGAAAGGGCACGACTTATGAGAGCTTGGCCAAGCTGAAGCCAGTATTCAAGGAGAATGGTGGATCTACAGCTGGAAATTCGAGTCAAGTGTCTGATGGAGCAGTAGCCCTCACTTTGGCGAGGAGAGACGTTGCAGAGCAAGCAGGCATGCAGATCTTGGGTCGCTGGATTGGCACAGCCACCAAGGGTGTTCGGCCGGACGAGATGGGTGAGAGTTCTGGACGGCGCGAGCCTTTCCTAGACTTAGCTGAGCTCCCGATCTGCACTCTTTAGGTATCGGACCGGCTATCTCCACTCCCAAATTGCTCCAAAGATTCGGCCTGAGCGCCAAAGACGTGGATCTCTGGGAGCTGAATGAAGGTGAGCCTCGTTTGGCGGCTTGAATCTCACGATGGCGCTGAAATGAACCGCCTTCTCCTCTACCGCTTTGCTGGCAGCTTTTGCATCGCAAGCTTTGATGACCATCGATACGCTCGGCTTAGATCAGTCCAAGGTCAATGTGAGTTCAGATCGCTCCCTCTGCCGCTACGTGCAGCCAGCGAATGACGCGCTCCTACTTCCTGTCGCAGGTCAAAGGTGGCGCCATAGCGCTAGGACACCCGCTTGGTGCCTCAGGAGGAAGACTGATTACCAGCTTGCTGACAGAGCTGAGGAGGACAGGTCAATCCGTCGGAGTAGCTACTTTGTGCTGCGGAACGGGATATGGCAAGAGCACGTTGATTGTCGCCGAATAATGGGGAATGCTGGTCCGATATGACACCATATTCCAGGCAATGTCGACTGCGAATGCGCAGCAGTCACTCGCTCCTGTTCCACGCCCTTCCGGATCACCTCTGTCAACATTTTCATCGTCGTGAGCATGCTTTGAGAGTAGCGTGTCGCATATGTCAGCTAGACGCGACCTCGTCCGGCAAAGCAAGCCAGGATGAGGGTGGTGGTACTCAAGACTTGACACTCAAAACTCCAAAACTATGTAACTCTCGACTTTGACTCAAGACTCACAGACTCTTTGAGGCACGATATGCATCACGTGAGCACGTTATCGGCCGGCAGAAGGACGTGGACCGCCCTATTCGTACGAGAGGAGGCCTGCTCTCAGATGTGCGCCTGGTGACGTGAATTGACGCGCGTGCTTGACTCGATCAGTCAGAGTTGCAAGTCACTGTGACAGTCACAGGGTAGTGACAGTCAAGTCGCACAGTTGCGAGTTCACGTTCATTGACCCACTTTGCCTTCATTTCCGGGTCGCGCGACACACCCATCGCGCCTCCTCTAGTGCCGACTTTATTCAGTAAACTCCCGACCAGCTTAGAAGAATATGTGCCAGCGTGGGGGCCCTCTTGCATTCGGGCCTTTTCTTCCGGCGCTGGTAGTCGCGATGCTGTGCCCAAGGGTTACAACGCCGCGCGACCAGGTGATGTGACTACTTAAAGGGATGCTGAACGGTCTCCACTCCGTCATCCTTTTACCATTTGGGCACGGCAGCCATCCAGCGCAAACGTCTCGCTTCGCAACTACTCGAACATCGCATTGGTGCTCAGCATAAGCGATCACCTGGCCACCTCTATCAATCAAGGGACGCGAATTTCATCCTTCGATCAGGGCATCAGCTCCGCGCATCACGATGTCCACTTCCGGCCGGCGAACATTTCGTGCCGAACATGGCGAGTGCCATTGATGATCTGTACGCTGTGCAATATCGCTACTCACCTTTTCATTCATTCCCTTTCATCCTCTCAGTTGGCTCCTTTCTGCGCCCCAGAGCGGTGCACGATGCTCGAGCAGCATTCGCCGCCCAAAAGCTGGACGCAGCTGGTCTTCGCGCTGCGGAAGATGCGGCGATCCGGGAGCACATCTCTACGTGTCTGTCGCTCGGTATCAGGGACTTGACGGACGGAGAGTTCCGCAGACAATACTTTCACATTGATTTCCTCAAGCATCTATCCGGTGTCTCGGTGCAGAAGAATAGCCTCGAGCAACAAGAGGGTCACATTCCTCCAACGTTGGCCGTAGTGGGCAAGATCAAGCACGAGCGCGACATTGAAGTCGACAACTTTGAGTTTCTCAAGAGCATCGTGCCCAGGGCGCAATGGAACGGCATCAAGGTCACCATACCAAGTCCGACGATGCTGCACTTCCGCGGAGGAAGGAAGGCCATCGATGAGCAGGTCTACCCGGACCTCGACGACTTCTTTCAGGATCTGGCAGCGGCATACAGGGCTGAAATAGACGCGCTGTACAAGGCTGGGTGCCGCTACCTGCAACTGTGAGTAGCGCAAGCTTGAAAGGTCAAGAGGTGACTTTCGTTGATCGAGCTTTCGTGCTCTTTTGTCGCTTGGAAATGTAGTGACGACACCAAGTGAGCCCGTGCTACGCATACCATTCTCCAACCTCGCAGCTCATCCTCGATGCCAATCCTACCCGTGCTCCCGCTCCCACAGCTTGGCCTACCTCACAGACCCAAAAATGAGGGCAGACGCAGCAGCTAGAGGCGAAGATCTTGCGACCTTGCCACATCGCTACGCAGAGCTCATCAACAAGGCCATCCAATCGCGACCGCAGGACATGCTAGTAGGTATTCATCTCTGCAAAGGCAACTTCAAAAGCCAAGTGAGTGGCTGGCTGCTCTGCTGCGTGCATTGATCGGCCTCTTCGGATCCCTGACACTCGCTTCCTTGGCCGCCATGTGGCTGCGTCCCCTGACCAGTTCTTCGCAGCAGGCTCCTCAGAAGGCTACGCGCCGATCGCCGAAGCGCTCTTCGGCAAGCTTCAAGTGGATGCTTATTTCCTCGAGTGGGAGGACCAAAGGTCTGGCGTGGACTTCTCCGTGCTCGGCGCTCGACCAGCAGGGGAAAACGCCAGGCCGTACCTCGATGCTAGCAAGACCGTGGTGTTGGGCTTGGTCAGTAGCAAGGTGGGCAAGTTGGAAGACAAGGAAGAGCTCAAGAGGAAGCTGCACGATGCTGCCAAATTCGCTCCAGCTGGCTTGGAACAGCTTGCGATCAGCCCCCAGTGTGGTTTCAGGTGAGCTGATGCTGACTCCCCCATAATCGACCTCGAAACGTGCTGATGGGGAAATCCCTTCATGCACAGCTCTACGGTGCATGGCAACTCCATCACAAGCGACGAGCAGTACGCCAAACTGAGGCTTTGCAAGGAGGTAGCAGAAGAGGTCTGGGGAAGCGCCTGAGCGAGATGCCCATGAAGGGAAGTCCCAGGCGTCTGGAGGCAGCATGAACCAAGCATGTAGCCGACCGACCTACGAAATGTTCAGCTTCAAAAAGAGCGACGGTCTCAACGCTGACTTGCTACGACCAGCATTCGCGAGACGAGATGCCAACCCCACGCTGTCTGGAACAAGTGTGAAATGTATGCAATGCTGCACTCCAATGACCGTTTGTCGTGTTCTACATTGCCTGCGTCGCATCGATCTCGATTGCAGGGACGATGGAAGCCATGAACTGAAGTGATGGGGGCGTTGGGTAATGACTCAGCGACCACATTCTGAAGCGCGTGGGAAACAAAAGACTCGCTCACCTTCAGGAAAATGAGCATATACTGATCTACACGTAGACCCTCGGGAATCTCCTCTTCTTCATCTGGTCGGGATGGCTCCTTCTCGTTCTGACTGCTGCTCTTCTTGCTGCTACCTCCAAGCCAACCAGGCTTGCTCGACTTCTTCACAGCCTTGCCCTCCTTCTCCCTCTCTGCCAGTTGTTGTTTCCTAGCAGCTCCAACAGCTCCATCCATCCTTTCGATGACCTTCTTCATGACGCTGGCGTGCTTGCATGGATGGACGCTCGCTGCGCTCATCGGAGCGTGCGGAAAAGGTTCCACAGTGACCGTCTTTTGGGCATAATCGGAAGAGACATCTTCGAAAACTTCTTGAGGCTTCAACAACCTTCCCGATTCGTCGTAGCCCACCAACCACATGCGGGGAGTCTGGTAGTACTTGTCGTAGGTGATGAGGCAATCGTACTTACGGACGCTGATCAAATTCGAGGAACCAGCAGTGGCACCTGTGCTAGCAGTGGCGTATGAGGCGGCTGTGGCTGGGTCATCTTCCACCACCCCACCAGCGAGCTCTCCAAGCTCATCTTCATCGTCCATGTCGGGAATCTCTGCAATGTCGTCGGCGGCATCTGGTCCAGCTCTCTTTGCTTCGTCGGCGCCTAGTGAGGTGCCCGCAACCCTTTTGGCAAGATCGTCCTCTTCACCAGCGGTCAGTCCTCCCACTTCACCGTCTACATCTGGGATGTCGGCTATGTCTCCGGGATTTGTTGACGAAGAAATCCCATCCCCTGGCAGCAAGAAGAGGGATGATAAAGGGAGCCCAAAGGTAAGCCGAGAG